GTCTGTTTGACGTGATTTGTTGGTGAACTCGATAAACTAATTGAAACAAATTTGTGATGCCTTTGAGTTTTGATTGTGTTCTTTAATTTACTACATTGTGCTGTGTGTTCCTCCTTCCAGGATCAGTTCGTTTGCTTTATTTAGGTAGCAAGTAAGAAAGTTTATTATGTATATATTGTTCAAACAGTTGTGGATTAATGAATTACCAGGTATCCTCCATACAAAAAGTGGAAACAGGGAGAACCCTGGTAGGTTCACCAGAATCTGCAGAGGTAGCTCCTGCTATGGTTAATGCGAAAACGACACCACCAAAAGCTGATCCCACAGTTGATCTGTTTAACATGCTTTCTATGGATGGTACAAGTGAAAATGGAACAGAATCATCTTCTGTTAATGATAATTCATGGGCAGATTTTCAGTGTAAGTTATATTTAACTGTTGGGCAAAAATAGAAAAGAAGCCTATGTCTTTCTTTTTTCCCATTTGCTCGTGAATTTTGCATGTAATTAACATCCCTTTGTTAGTTGCTACTTGCTTATTGCTGTTTCAGTATTTTTGTCGCTTCCAGTCCTGCAGCTGACTCTAAACACCTCTGTTAATCAGTATTGGTGATATCACTTCATTATACTTGATCTCCAGCTGCAGAACTAACCAGTGCCTTGGAGACAAACAGCACCACAAAATCTGTTGAAAGCAAGAACGAAAATGCACTGGGAGTTGAGGAACTGTTTAAGGAATCCACGTCTTTGACGCAGCCTTCGACTGAAAAAAAGCCCCAGACAGATGTAAAAAATGATATCATGAGCCTCTTTGATAAGGTAATTTCTGCTGTTTTTTATGACAAAAGCTTGTGCAAAATATTAGATCAAAATTCTCAACAAACTCTACCTTTTCAGAATGTCATGTAGTTCTTATATCTTTGAATTTTTTGTGGAAATTTTTATGCTTCTGTTTATTGTGATATTCAATTTTGTGAATTATTCTCTATACTTTCCCTTAGCTTTCACTCGATAGTTATCTCGTTACTATATTCTATGTCATTTGCCAAGAGATTTTGTGAGAATTTACCTTCACAGACTTGGTCATCTGTAGGTTATTATTAGATCTGAAAATTTAATTTAAAAGTACTTAATTGCTTTAATTTGTGGAATGTGATGGTTTACAGTCCAATATGGCATCTCCATTTGCACTTCAACAACAGCTAGTGTACCTTCCCCAGCAGCAAGCTCTTCTTATGGCTGCTAGTAAATCCAACAATGCACCTGAAGAATTTTCTCCCAGAACTCATCACCGAAGTGTAAGTGATTCAAACACAATGAAAGGAAACATTGCACAGAGTTGGGTGAACTTCGGTTATCAGGTCCCAGGCAATGTGCCACTAGCTGGACACCTGTATTCCAACAACTCAATCCAGGTGATGAAGTTTAACAGGCTCAATAAGTGATTTTTCCAAAGACACAGATTTTGATTTGTTCCTCTTTTTTTGTGAAATAGCAGATGGGAAACGTTACGTACCTTCATCCATCTGGGAGCTATGGTCCTGTTGCAGCATCTGGGTATGCATCCCTCCTGCCAAAATTCTTTAACCTAAACCTTGTAATGATATTGAAACTAACCCTCAGAGAGGTTGAACAGTTGAGCATTCACAGTTTCAATAACAAGATGCCTTTATCCCAGCTATTCGGTGATAGTCACATGGGTCCTTGTGTATTGTTCATATCTGCTAGGGACCAAATATCAAAAAGTTCATGTAGCAAAGAGGGCATTGAGATGGATGATCAGTGTTACATGGAAAGATGGTAGCAATCAAGGACGGGAAAATACTTAAAGTTGCCTAAACATGTCTAAAGTAGTACTTTCGTTGTGATAATAGGATAACATTAACCAATCAGGATAAATGACACTAGGAGAGCATGAAGTGACCATTGGTCAATTCCTTGAAAGGTGAAGAAAATCAATGGCCTACAAGATTGTATGCGGACTAATAAACTTTGGTGATGGAATACAGCAAATACGATCTAATGCTTGACTTTGTTTTTTGTGGATGGAATCCTTCGTTATTGGTTTAGGCAAACATTTCTCTCCTCTTTCATGAAATGAGAGGGGCAAAAGAAGGGTTGATGACTTGTCATTAAGATGATTGAATAATCATAGGGAAATGATTTTCCTGCATTTACCACCTTGTCTTGTATTGTCTGGATGTGTGGCTTATAGAAACAATGCTTTAGGACAATTCATGTGTTCAACAGTTATTTTTGCTTGGACATAACTTCGTGTACTGACTTGTTCTAGTCCTCTTCGTTCAATGTTTTCTCCCGATGTGGGATAGGGTGGTTTAGTTTTAATTGTTTGCATTTACAGTCCAAAAATCATCATATTGCATGAGTTTATACTTTAAATCGTCCAAATCTTTTGTCATTGCATGCACTAGTCGTATTCATTCTCTTGAACTGACATCTGGTTGAAATAATTGGATGAGAAAAAAAATCATTTTCTCTCTAGCTCCTATTATATTGCTTAGAAAGGTTTACGGCTCTCCTTGAAAATAAAAGAATAAGGTAGAAGCTGTCTTGGTGCACAAACATTCTGTGTTCTCTTTTTCTATAAAGGAATCTTAATTTTTTGCGGAGGATAATTAAGATGAATAAAGAGGGCATGTGTTACTATGTCGATAGAAAAAAATATTCATACAAAGTATTTTTAATTAGAAATTTTCATTACATTAAATAACATGCGAGATGCTCAAACATGAACTCGAACTTTAGACTCATCATATATGCAATAATGCACTAATCACTAGAACATTTCAATAGAAACAAATAGTATTACTATTGGCGAATTGTATATTGCAAATAATGGTATTGAGAGGGTTTTTAATGTTTTTAATTTGTTATCTATGTTAACACTAGGATGAGGCTAGGGAACATCTTAGCAATGTTTTACATATTGAGGATACTTTTTGGGACATTTATAATAATTTCAAAAACATAATTGGGTCAAAACCATTTATGGAATATTTCTTGTATGTTTCTTAAATTTACGCTTAAAATATCTGGAAGGAGTATACCATGCTTAATAAATAACTATTATTAAATAAGAATCATGTAGGGACTTGTATGAAATTAACGAAAGTGTAGTTTTAGAGATTAATATGAAAAGCAAAAACTCTCTTTTTGTCATGACTATTTGTTCATTCTTTTTCATTTTCCATAACTTTTTATCTGATGGCGAACCTTGTGATCTGTTGATACTGGAATTATTGTCTTGAAGGCTGCATGCTCTTGGATCCTCAGCATCTGCTGATGGATTAGCTGCTGGTGGTGGAGTAAACAATCCTCATGCAACTTCTTCTCCATCTACTACCAACAGTCGCTCGCTCAATGAATATGATTTCTCATCATTGACTCAAGGAATGTTCTCAAAACGGTGAACGACAGAACGATCGTCACAGTTTGTTTTGGTTGTCTCCCTCACATTTCATCTTGGACATTTAAAGCGATAAGAAGTCGATATATAGGCGGCGCTGAGTTTCCTGCATTAAGTTTCCATTGTAGAACCACTTTGGTAGCTCTTTGATGTTTTCATGTCATCTGTAAAGATGCTGAGAAATATAATAAAGGTCACAGCCTGCTGAGGTTCAGTGCAGTGATACCAAATTCAGAGTCATGAACATTCTTGTTAGAGTTTAGAATAGTTAATCTGAAGTGTGTTTTATTTTCCGTTTTGTGACTGAGGATACCTGAATTGCTGTTATGGACAATGTTTAAAAGACAGCCTATACTACCATCAGTATTTAAGGGTCCGGCTGACAATTGTGACTCACCCGGTTTGGTTGATCATTATCTGATTCGGTATGAACTGTACTACACCAAGTTGATCGAATGGTCAGCGGACTAGTATTGTTATTATTATTATTTATTTGTAATAGCTGTTACAGTTGTGTGTTTTTTTAATTTTTTTTTTCTATTTTCTTCGCTTTCTTGTTGCATCATGTTATTTTCTTGTTGCATATCGTTGCCACTGCTTCCTCATTCTCCGTGTTCTTTTTCATCATAATCTTTTTCTTTTCTCCTCTTTTCTTGTCATCTTTCTCTCACTTTCTCGATTGTTTTCTTGTTGCGTCACGTTACTTTCGCGTTGCCATCACTTCCTCATGCTGTGTTCTCTTTCGTCTTATTTTTTTTCTTTTCTCATTTTTTTTTTGTCATCGATCCATTCATTGGTGACATCGGATTAAGATTTTAAACCATGCAAAGATAAGAGGTGGATTCTAAACATTGATCTTAGCGAACAACCTGAAATTGATCAAAGAATGAGTGTGGCAAGAAAAAGAATGGCAACCAAAAACCTCCCTATAAATTTTT